GCTGTTTCGAGAAGATCTCCAGTGGATTGACTGGCTGGCAGCAGTACTCGGTGGATAGGCCCAGACAACTGCTGCCTTGCTACATGAACTGACCTGATGGGCAACAAGATTCGCAGCGACTTTGAACCTCCTGAGGACTAAATATGCATATTTCCATCCCTCTAATCTGCAGAATGCAGCAAGTAATACCGCTAGTTCAGTTCATTCTGCGATGCACGGCCGTGGATTGAAGCTATGCTGCTGGCAGGCATAGCGTCCAGTGGCCAATAGCGCAGGGGCCGCACTAGGCAGCATCTCCGCATTTTGAAAATGGCATCCGCCGACTGCAGCCATCATGCGGCTCAGACGCATTGCCTTTCGAATTAGCAGACAATTTCTGACGTCGAAAACGATCTTCAGCTGGCTCAAAACTAGGCACAGCCGCCTTCTTGCATGTTGCTGAGCATCATTGCTAAACGCGGATGCTTGTCATTGATGATATATCGCTGTCGTTGTCTCAGAAGTTGAATGGTCCAAAATTAGACGGGCATGGGTTATATATAGAGGCATGCGTTGGGTCCCCAGTCCTTGTCAATTAATGACCATCACGGGGTCATTTTTTTTTGGAAGCCCCAGACAGCTTCCATTCGACATTCCATGGTAAGCGAGGCCTGAGGATCCTGGCCACGGTTGATCGATGCGAGAGATTTGGACAATTCATATAGTATTTGTACGCACATGCTTGGTTACACAGAGCCCAGATTACACAGGTGGCATCTGATGTACTAGTTGCCTCAATTACATGTACATATTGACGCTATTTGCAATTGCAGGTTGACAAAGCTTAACCGTAGAGAGGTGTGCTGCCTCATGCACCTAGCCTGGCACAATCACCCGCTTCTTCTGCGGGCGATATGCAGCCTGGCAATTCACCTGGCGAAAGTTGAGAAAAGCGAGAGCTAAAAGATCGATTTGAAATAGGTCGCTAATAAGGTTTCCCGTATCAGGATGTCCATATAACTTGTCGGAGTGCCTGGAAATTACCGCTTGTGCCACATGGGATGGAGCAGCGGCTGGCACAAGCTTCAAATCTGTCCCATCGCCCTCGCCACACACACACGCATTGAAAATGGGGTCAAGGGCAGGGGGGCCCAAGCAGAGGCCTGTTAATGAGGCCCCGGAACAACAAACAAACAAACAATAGTTGAGCGGCAGCAACATACATCAAACATTTGAAGATCAATGTAATTAGGAACAACACAAGCACTGCATGTCAACATCAACAAGGCCGACCCGCAGCGACTGATGGTAGGACAGGCTGCGCGCCACGGCCACCGCTACGGCTGAAGCCCCAGATGGCATGTTTCCAGCGGCCGATTTGCTGGGCCGCTCACCGTCTCAGCACAATAAAAAAGTCATGACGATATTGTACATTGGCGTCGATGCCGATTGTGTCTGCTTTGGGCGGCGCACAAGCCACACTTGCACGAAATATCCGGCCTTGGCGTGCTGGATATGTCCAAGTACAGTTTTCCGTATGCACATGCATGAGCCACTCCCACCACTCCTCCGCATTGAAAGGGACAAGGGGGGATGCTTATCCGAGCAAGTGTACAGTACGGAGTGTGTATAGTATGTACCTGGTGATGGAATCGCTCACATTGTGAATTAACATTGACGCTACCAACGCATGAGCAGCCGTGCTCTGGCGGTGGTGATGGCGGTGGTAGTGGTGATGGTGGTGGTGTTTGTGGTGCTACTATTTCAAGGTTCTCATCTCTCACCTGTTGGCGGAGCTCGCCAGGTATGGTACGAGAGATGAGCACAGTACCAACAGAAATGCTACCGCTATAATTGCCAGTACTGCTCATCACCAACGTCAAACCGCTCCATCACCGAATGCAAGCCGCATCCCTGCCTGCGTGGAACTGAGCGAAAGAGAGGGAGCAAATAGGGTGGGGGAAAAGGGGCTTCTCTGCCGGGCGCCAAAAAAAAGAGCATGTACTTGGACTCTACTGCACGCTCTCGTACCACAGCCTGTCGTCAGCAGCGACACCGCCTTTATGTGAAGGAAGCACGCAGAAGCACGCAACGCCCGAGGGAGCAATCAGCACGATCAAATCACAATCAGAATCAAGGTCACTGAAGAGGCAGCTCAGCATGAATCTTGGGCGATGGGGGTCGGGACCCTTGAAGATAGGTAGGGAGTGAAATATGTATGCACTTGTGGCGAGAGACGTGTGTGAGTGCTCGCACCACGACTAATTAAAAGCTGTGAATGGCATCGGTCATGTCTCGTTTGACATTGTGTTGTTCCTAAGCCGCCTTGCTTTTGACGCTGCCCCCGAAGCTGTATAATTGATTACATCTGATGTATTTGATGCCGTTATGTGGAAGCGTGCACAAGCAGATACACAAGGCGGCTGCCCCTATTCTGTGCGGCGGATCCGGGCTGTTCGTTGCTGTTTTCTGGTCCCCGTGCGCGTCTACTGCAGCACGTTATAGGCATCTCGTTGCATCAGCATCGATCGACGGCAAACACGACTTTGGGGACGCACACACGAACGCCCACACGTAAAAAGAAAAAAGATGGCAATATATACAACACGCATCCACGGCGCATCGCAGCGCATCGCAGTGCAGGCAGCGCATCAGATTGATGTTATGTAAACAATTTGTCCCTTTTCGCTGCCCTCACACCCAGCACTGCACTACAGCATGCACGGGGCGCTGCCTCTTCCGCCAGGCCGCACCCCCTGCGAGAGCTCGCTGGTTCGCTGCGTGTACGAGTTGAGCGCTCCGTACCTGTCGCCATGCAGCCCACACCACACACACTCTTCTACTGTAGGTATTGCAGGCGACGCGGTGCGGGTGCGGATGCAGCATAAGTCTACGCTGCCTGCTAGATTAGTGCCTTGGAGCAAACTCGGCTGAACCACTGAGGAGGCCCCCCCCTCCAGCAAGGGCCAGCGCCAGAGCCAGAGCCTGCGCTCAGAGCCAGGCAGGGCTCCTGGCTCTGGTTCCGTGTTCCATGCTGCTTGCACAAGTAGAGCCAAGTACCGCGGCCATCCATGTCGCGCTCCCCTCTGCTAAGGCTCCTGATCCATGCCCTGGCTCCATGCTGCGAGCTAAGGCGCTGCTTCTGGGCTCGGGGCTGCCAAGCTACACCCCCAGGCAGGGGCGGTACCAGCGCGACACACTCTACGCCGGCTGTCTGCGGTACCTGTAGCACGGGGCATGTACCGCGCCAAAAGAGCTCCATGTACCTAAACTCAGCTCGTACACCTCACTCCGCTTCGCGCTCCAGTGCCTGTACGGAGCATTGGAGCATTGGCAGCAGCGCACTGCCTGTCCAGTTAAAACTACCGCTTCTCCAGTCCTCTCTCGTTTCTTCCATCCTTCCACTCTTATCCCACCTCTTCCTCTTCGACCTCTTCCTTTTCCTCTCTCTCTCTCTCTCTCTCTTCCCTATCCACTCATTCCCTCATCCATTCAACCGCTTCCTCTGTCGACCACCACCCGGTCGAAATAGGAGTCTGGCTTGGACTGAGGAGAATCGAATCCCGACCGGCCACCGCTTTTGAAGACGAATCCCCCCTTCGCCCGCGGCCCTCTTATACAGCATCCAGGACGAGACGGAAGAGAGAGAAGAGGAATCAAAGTGAATCAAGGACTGGTATTTTCTTCTGTTTTATTCACTGGTATTCTGTTCTTCTTTCTTTGCTCTTGGTTTCCTGCCTGCTTCCCCTTTTTGGCCAGAATTCCTTACCTTTAGCGACAAGGAATTTTACCACCAAAATCGCCTGGCTCGCCAACCGTTTTTTTTTTATCTCCTTCTCGCCCTTTTCGTTCTCCCGGTTCACTCTCGACGAGACGATTTTTTCGAGAAAGAATAAAGATCTTCCCGAGACTGCAATCGTAGACAATTGTGCCTTTTTGTCTCGATCTCCAATTTCGCCCAATTACAGGCGTTTCCAGTCCCGGCTTGGAAAATCTGCACGATTTGGTTGCTCTGGTGGATCTGCTCGCTCAGTTCCCCGTCACCTCGTCCAGCCAGCTTCCGCTTTGCAGGGTCAGCTTGTTGACTATTTGCGCTCACCACCTCGTATGATTTAATCCTTTTGCCCACCGCCTTTCGGTGCCAATTCAGTTCAAGGTGTTCCAGTGTGACAATAGGTAAGACCAATCTTTATTTCCTTCTATTCATTATTCCTTCGCCCGCCAGCAGCCAGTCGAGAGAACCGCCAGTGTCCGCACAATCTCCAATCTTGGGATGCACGCTCCCTTCAACAGCTGCATACCCGAGCCCGCTCTCCGCATTCTCAGCGCCTTTCTCCACAGCTGCACTCGAGCTATCATTCGGCGCAGCTGCTGCGCGGGAGACGTTCGCTCGTTGATCCCGCCAACTGCCCGGCGTGTCTCTCGCTTGGCTGTCCCTTTTTTTTCTTCTTTTCCCTCTTCCCTGTGCATGGCGGTAAGAGGCTCATCCCCTGCTTCGGTCCATCGCACCCTCGTGCCAATCCAGCGTGCGACTCCATGCCAGCCAACCCCCCGTTCAGTAAAAGGGAGTGGCCTCCAGCCTCAGGGGAGGCTTCTCGTGCTTGCATGTCTTGCCCGTCTGCCAGATCGCATTTTCCTTCTTCACTATCGGGCTTTTTGACCACCAAGACTAACGCCATTGATTTTCTATTAGAGCTGTCCAGTCGGTCCCTTCGTTGTCCTTAAACGGCGCCCCTTTCCCGGTCCCTTTTGCATTTTCCGATCGAATTTCCAGCCTACATGATCCCGGCTTTCTTCCCAGCCACAGTCACTCTTTTCCATTAGTTTCTTCACCACGCTCCTTAATATCTTAATATCTTAATTCCTAGGGTTGCATTCACTCCTTGATCGCACCCAAGGCTCGCTCTTTACTCAATAGTCTCTCCCACTCAAAGCTTCCTGGAGAACTTGCCCGACACTCTTTTTTTAGACATATAATCAACACCGACCCATCTAATTTTACAGCAAACCCCTCATCCATCATGGCTTATGCTCACCCCGACGAACACTTCTTCATCGAGAGCGATGAACCCCAGTCCAGCACTCGCAGCTTCCGAGATACCGCGAAGATGCTTGCGCGCAGCCGGCAAGAGACGATTGCTTGCGAGCTCTCCCGTCTCGCCGGCGAGGAGTACCTGGGCGACATCATGACGCATATGCGACACATGGAGGCATGTTGCGACCTTTTTCAGCCTGTGGCTATTTTTGACAATCTGGCGCTAACACTCATCTGCAGGAGGAGACCCTTCCTGATGCTAACCTCATTGACATGCAACGTGAGATCCAATGGTTCATGCGACCGTACCTCATCGACTTCCTTATCGAGGCCCATGCCGCTTTCGCCCTACTGCCCGAGACGCTGTTCCTGACCGTCAACTTGCTGGACCGATACTGCTCACGACGAGTGGTGTATAAGCAGCACTACCAGCTCGTCGGCTGCGCCGCTCTCCTCATCGCAGCCAAGTATGGTGACAAGAAGGACCGGGTTCCTCAGATTCATGAGCTCAACAACATGTGCTGCGGCCTGTACGATGCCGGCATGTTTACGCAAATGGAGATGCACGTCTTGAACACTCTCGAGTGGACCATTGGCCACCCCACTGTCGACTTTTTTACCCAGCTCATGGTTGCCGAAGAGCAGGACGACAAGGAGGTGGAGCACATGGCCGCCTATCTGTGCGAGATTGCCCTGTACCACCGCGACTTTGTTTCGACCAAGCCTTCCATGATGGCACGCTCCTCATTGGCTCTGGCGAGAGCTATTCTGGGCCGACCCGAGGTCAACGACGGCGACTGGGATCACACCGAGAACCTGACCCTGTTGACTCTCTCTCAGCACCTCAACCAGCCTTCGCCAACCCTGGCACGCAAGTACTCTTCATCGTCCCTGTCCAAGGCATCGCAGAAACTGGCAGACTTCATGGCCGAACAGGCCGCCATGGCCAGACGCCAAGCCAACCCCCCATCACCAGCTGCCGAGACTCCGTCAAGACACGCCGCCGACATCTACAGCACCCCTCAGAAGGGCCATGGCGCTGCCGCCGGCTTCGACGGTTACCTCACGCCTCCCATTACTCCCGACAATGCTTATGGAAACGCAACCAAGGAGACATACCATCAGCTGCCTCCTCGGTGCCCTGTCACGCCAACCCCTCCTCAGAGCCATCCTTCTGTGTACTCCCAGCATGTACAACAATACGCTGCTTTCGTGAACCAGCACGGAATCCACCAGCACTAGGAGTTTTGGTGGCGCATACGTTTGGTATGGTCGATCGATTAATACAGTACTCGCTTCTTCTCCCCCGCCTTCATCCATATTAGCTTGTGGGTGATGAAGGGTGTTCATGTTTCAATATTCGAGGTCATGGCGATGAGCTCGACTTCTTCCAAGCAATAACATTCAACCTTGATAGTCACTCTCAGAATGATCTGTCTCATATCTACGTCATGGCATTTAGCGATTGATTTAATTCATTTTCTTTTCACAAATTTATTTCCCTTTTCATTGTTTTTGTCATCTATTTCGCAAATCAAATTTCTCAGCAAGTCTTCATGGCACCAAAAAAAAAATGGAACGCGGATCATACCCAATTTTCCTCGAGTCGTTTTTTATCTTTATTTTCGGTTTTCTTTTTTGCGCTTCTGGGGTCAATGTGCGTGGTTTCCACGGGTATGGAGCACCGCATATCCAGGAGTTGCGCGTACCTCCGATAGAAAAGGGGGGGTTTTTTGTCTTGTGGTGGATATAGTATTTGAGGGGATAGAGGAGTTGAAGGGGGAATTTGGCCAGCCTTCAGATTGAGGGTTAAAAGGAACAACAAGAATGCAAAGTGGCCGAGTAAAAGAAAATACGTCACGGATACCACGGAGCGGAGAGGGACAAGGGCCAAAAGCCATCGGTGCAAGCAGCAGCCGGAAGTTGTTTTCTTTTTTTTCCTACTTTCGGATCTAATCTCTACTTGGCATATGGGAGGAACATGAGCCTTGTTGCGACACACAAGGCAATTGGTGTATAATTCTTTCGAAAAGCAGATGGGCAAATGGCGGACGGATTCGCGCTCTCAAGCGCAGTGATACCCATCGCTCTCTTCCGGAAAAGAAGGGATTGGAACAAGTGAGCTTTATCCGTCCATTTGGCCGATCGAAGGTGGGATATAGATTGCGTGGGCTGCTCAGACCTGGTCTCTCACAATATTTTTACCCTCCTCAGCTTGTACATATAAGGTAGTGTGGACAGGCACAACGGAAAAAAAAAAAGAAATAAATGTTCTTTTTTTGGCAGCAGTGCGTGTGCTTTCTAGCGGAACCAAGATGAGAAAAAAAGTGGTTTCTACTACATTGCCTGTTTTTGTCTGTCTTGTATGTAACGTGGTGCAGCCAGTAGTATGGTTTAATTCTTCCACGCCTACGCTGGCGAGTGACGACGAGAGACTCTTTCCGGTTCCATGTTCCGAATTGTTACTCCGTAATGATGATATTGTGATGATGTTGGCCAAGCAAGTGGACTAATAAGGCTTGAAACTGTGCTTTGGTATTCAGGGGTGAGCATATTTCTTTTGTTCCTTCTGGGGACTATCTCTTCCCCTATTCATTCTTTGGGGTTGATCAAAGAGCACATTTGATCTTGGAACATTCTTAGACCTTTGGCATGCGTCGAGATGAGCGGATGTGAACAGTTTGATGAGGGTGATTGTTATTCAATGTTATCCTGAGATGACTAAGCGGTGCTGCTAGGGCGAGGTGTTGTTCTCATGTGCGAGGATTAGATAGCTGGATGGCTTCATACTACGAAACATGGAGGCTGGATGGGCGATCTGAATGAGACTGAATCCCATTCAGTTTTCTCCGTTTGTATGATTATTCTGATGGTTGGGAGTGAAATATCTTTGGTGGAAGTGGAGGCTGGTATGTGTGCTTTAACAAGGGCAAAGGGAGAAGGGATGGGTGGGTGGATGGCTTGAGAGGTTGGTTGGCGAACAAAGAGGACTGTAAAAGAGTCAAAGTGTAAATATAGGTGGTTGAAGTGGAGTGAATAAAGGAAAATTTATGAAGACAAAAAAAGAAGACTATTACTTTCCTTTGAGTTGTGAGGTTGGTTTGAATGAGGCGAGAGGTTGGTGCTGGCTGTAAGAGGTTGGTGATGATCCCTTTGAAGGATCTTTCTTTGCTGTGTGTTCGGTGGTCGTTGAGTTTAAATGAAGGGATGTAGAAGGAAATCCCTTTTTTGTGGCTGAATCCGGAGATGTGATGATGGGAGGATATCCTTTGTGTTGAAGTATTGATCTGTGTATAGTGGAAAGGAGGGGTTAATATGTCTTTGTATTTCAGCGCATGCCGACATGCTTTGACTGGCATTTTCATGGGCAGCTGTACTATTTTGTTATTGCCCTAGCCCTTTCATTACAATGACCAATATGCTGTACAGTGCAAATCTGTTACTTAGACTCCTGTTTCGTGATATCATGTCAATTGCTTGTGGTAACGGCCTTAGGAGGAGCTACCCTGGAGTCGTGACATGGGGGCTAAATTTCCCTCTCATTTGCTGCCTCTAGTGAACATGAGCAGTTGAAAGACTTTCGTCTTAGGCGGTAACATGTAAGAAGTACTCACATGTGAGATAGGATTGGCAAATCTAGAACATTGGTGTCTCTTCTTTGTCGAGGTCAAGGCTCTCGGTCGTGGAGCTGTGCTCCTATGAAGTCGTCAGTGCGCTACAAGTACTAGAGAAGGAAAATTTATCCAACACCCAAACTGTAACTCGCCGAGGCAGCCAGTTTACTTATTAATACTCAACTACCGCATACGTTTAAAAGTAGTAGCATCAGTAGTAGTAGTTGCCTACGCTCTAGCTGGAGCGCTGGATACTAGAATTAGGGTGCTGAGAAAGGAAACTTCTCCGAGACTTTGCGAGCATAGAGGATTGAATAAAACTCCCGAAAAGCCCGCCCCAGTTGCTCCATGCGCAAGCCTTAACAAAGAAATTCTTTGCAGCATCCAGTGCACGCAGCTTGAGATTGCTCAAACGGTCTTGAGATCTCATGGTTTCCGGATTGGGAAACTCAAAGAGCTGTCAAATGCTCCAAATATATCTTTCTTCTTAAAGTAAACATGCTTAAAAGAAGACTACGACCATTAATGAAGTTGAATGACGGCAGATGGTTTTTTTTCTCCTCCCATTTTGTCTTGAGCAACGTTCTCTTCTACGTTTACCCGAGAAAAAACACCATCAACCTTTGGAGATAATTGCTAGAGACACAACTCTTATTTGGCTCTCTGAAGAAACCACTTACGGTTCTGAAGTATCGTGGCAGCATTAGTCATGTCAGTCGCCGTCTGTTCAGCAGTCACCGAGGTGGAAGAAGTGGAAAATTCTCCGCCAAACGCGAAACCTCGCCTTCGGGGGCGTAGACTCGTTGAAGACGACACTGCTGGGAAACTAGAGCTCGAGCTCTTGGAGAGGGTTGAAGATGTCCTTCGTAAGTTGTTGCCGATTTACCCATAATCCCGACTGTTTTACAAGATTCAAGATTGAAAAGCAAAGTTGAACCTAACCTTTACTTCTTTCTGTTTCTCGCTGCACAGGAAAGATAGGAAAGATATTTTCTCGAAATTTCCACAAGCTACCTACGAAAGCTCAGGAACTGGGTTCTTCAACAGGACCCGGGGATCTCTTGCAGAGATTAAATCTTCTCACGAGAGATCGCGTCTTGGACGACTTTTTACAGAAAAACCACCGCTGCCGTCAACTGTTCTCGGAGTTGTTGTGCTGTCGCTACTCATACCTGAAGGAACAAAAGAATTCTGAAGATACGAATGGCGATGGAGACCAGGAAATATCGCTTGCTGCATCATTCAGCGAGGATTTCCAACCCATAGACTCGGTAAGGACGGACAGCGTACGATGGCTTCCTATAGTAAAAGGTATATCTCTCTACAACTGTGGCTTTGTAAGAAACACTGTTAACTAACTCCACACAAAGAGAATGGAGATATCGAGAGTACAGTGACTATGAAGAAAGGCCGGCGTTTGCAACCTGTTTCAACATACTTGACCTCAAAAGATGCGATACTTGAGTGCGTGGACGCATACGATGGCTTCGACCCCATTTACAGTGACTCACCAGGTGCTTTCTCGATTATGGACCCCATCTCTCTGCATGAGCTTGAGTTAGTGGAGAAGATGTACTCCCATATGGACAAGCTGTTAAGCAAGGAGTCGGTAGACGAAGTTGTCCAAGACGTGCCGAATATGGCGCCCCAGCTTAAAGAAGCTCTCACTGAAGTGTTTGCCAAACTTTCAGATTATTCCGCCAAGTTTCAGCAGGAGTTTCAAAAGAATATCTTCTCTCAGCTGCCGGCAAAGTCTGGGATCGAACTGGAAATGACCATCAAATGGCATGACCCAGAAGAGAGCGCAGACAGAGATAGAGGAGGGGACGAAGGCATGGATTTTGAATCTGAGCCCTCGCAAAACTTGAACCAACGACCTGGGACCCCCATCACTCCAGCTGATTTCAAGCTGCAGCCGTATAAAGATTGGCATATCGAAGGACCAAAAGTCCAGCTAGCCAGGGCGAAAAACTTCCTTGCTGACTGCGACGTCGATCGGACAGCGGACTGGAAGCACAAAGTCGCAGAGCTGACCGAGTACCTCGCATATCTGGGCTCTACAGCTCAGGGAGACGAAGATTTGTTTCACGATCTCGAAGAGGTTCACGACATGCTTCAGGCACATGCAATCTTTGAAAACTACCACTACGGAGAGCAGCAGCTCATCGTCGACTTTCCAACGAACATCTGGCCAACACAGAGCAAAAGACTGCCTCCGCTCCCGGGCCCTGAGGTCACCCTTCGCCCTGGGCGGCGTGATTTGACAGCCCCTAGACGTCTTCTCCATGTGGATGTGGCGAGTGCCTATGACCAGCAGTACGAGCTGCCGGTTGAGGTCCTGAGGAGGGATTATCTGGAGCCTTACTGGAAGGACAGTGAGAGGTTTTGGGCAGCTGGTCCATCTGCTGACGCGAATGAGCCGACAAATCTTGCGGCTTGCGAGAATGAAGCTTATGAAGAATGCATGAATGGCAAAATGGCGCAGACGGTGAGATTCCTCGAGGACAAAGGCGGTTTTTGTCTTCCAAAAAGTCACGATAGTGCCTTGAAGGTCAACAGAAGCATTCTGGAAGCGTTTGCGAGATTCCACGGTGGCCAGCGTGCTGCTGTTCAGCAGTGCCTCAACATCTTCGACCATGACGAGAACCGGAAAATGTGCAGCTCTTTGCGTGTTCTCGCCCTCCCTGAACCTGTTGACGAGAAAAAGAAGAAGAAATCCGATGCTGGAATTTTCTTCACTACTAAGAAGCTGGCGCATCCGCCCGAGAAGGAATCGAGGGATCCTTGGGCTTATACGAGATCCTATCAGCAGTTTAAGAAGGAGGAATTGCGCTGGGCTCAACGGGTGAAGGGCAATTCTGTCGCGAAGTCTACCGGAAACAATGAAGTCAGTATAAGCCTCCCTAAAAACTGGAAGGGTCCCGTATTGTCATCTCCAATGAGTTCCAGCATGAGGAAGACGTACGAGCATCTGCGGCGCTGCCAAAAGATCCAGCAGGGGCTGAAGCGAGCTGCGAATCGAGCACCCCGAGACTTCATCAGCGGACTTATCGAAGCCGTGGAAGCCGGTCTGGCTGGCAAACAATCTGCAGCAAAGGAGATGAATCTGAGATTTGGCGAACACGAGTACGAATCGACTAATAAACGTACTCTTGCCAACATTCGCCCTACAGAGGCGGCGTGGCTAGAGTATATCTGCCAGCCGTCACGGAATCGTCCATACATGCTGGACGAGTCTCTTGGGAGGTTGGGAGAAATCTTGCTATCGAGAGTGGCGCGCATGATGAATGATATCAGTCCTGTATCGCTATTTTGGGATATGAAGCCCAAAACGATGTGTGCCTTGTTGAAAGAGCTGAACGTTGGATGTCGTGGGCCAGTAAAGAGGTATAAGTTCACTGAGAAGGACGTTAAACTGCTGGCACCAAAGTTGCATGATTTGAAGGTCCTGAGGTAAGAATTCCTTCCCAAATTCTCTTTGGATAATTGAGTTAGATAGCTAATGATGAGGCAGACTTTACACGAACGTATTGAATGGGGAATGGATGTTTGGCCGGCCGGATACAGAGTTTCATCCTGAAGACTTGGTCAGATGGCCCGATTACGAGCCTCGACAACAGCAGCAAAGCCAGTCTTTAGATGATAGTTTCTCCGATCAAGTCTCCGTCATCCCGGGAACCTCTGAGGATTTCTACGAGTATCCCAGAGGCATGCCTAGAAGGGAAGACGTCATCTCCCTTCGAGATTTCATCAGGAATCCTATAAGAAGTGCCGAGTGGCATTGGCGGACGACGAATTTCTTCCATTGCTTGGGTTACCGCCTAGGTCAGACGCTCAAGACACTTAAGAGAGTGCATGAAGAGAGTCACGAGAAGGTTCGAGATACTGACAAAGAAGAGTACAACGACTCTGTTCTCCGCACCGCAATCTCACGTTGGGAAGATGATGCTGAGAGGCTTCCCAACGATCCATTAAACTGCCCAGCAGGAGAAAACAGCCCCTGGCGTATGACAATGACATACCAAGACGTGGTCAAAACGGCAGATCCAGATACTTATGAGCAACACCAATCGGCCTGGGCAGAAGCTGGCCGTTCCGCGTGGAAAGAGGCCTCTGAGATTGTGCGCAAGAATCTTCTGCGCGAGGCGTATGAAAACAAGACAATGTTGTGGCCGCTCCCTCTTCCATACAATAGCTACGCTACGAACTATCAAGTCGCAGATCCGACATCCTGGCGAGAGCGCCTCGCGAGATACTGGAAAGGCAAAGAGTCAACGGCGGCCTATCAAGCTCGAGTTGATGCCCTTGACGCTCATATCCAGAAAGAAGAGGAAAAATCCGAAAAAGAAGGAGGAGCTACAGCAGCTCAGAAGCAAACTCTGAAAACGACACGACGCGAGCCAATCTGGACATTTGGACATCCGTCGAGAAAAAAGACCGTTCACCTGTTTTGGGATATCAACAACTGGCCGGTGCATCTTCAGTCGGAGCGCAGACGTCAAATTATTGCGTCTCGAGGACCTAAGAAAGAAAAACACGGTGATGGCGCTGCGAATAATGACGAAGCTATTGCTGCTTTTGCTGAGAAGATGGACATGGAAGAAGATGAAATCCCATTTTACAGAAAGGCAGCTCAGCGGCGCAAGTTTGTTCCTGGCATGCGTGGATTTCTGATGGGAGACACGCCTTTGCAAAAGAATAAGATTGAAAATAGAATGAAGATGAGTAAGTTGGATTTGTCGAAATGGAACTTTTAACTTGGTAGAAGCTAACCCATCTTTAGAGCTTGCGCCAACAGGCTCGAGGAAACGCACCTGGAAAGACGTCCTCAAATCAGTCGTCCTGGGTTCTCCGAAAAAGAGGAAACTCGAAGCTATTTCCGACGACTTGCCGCCTCTGCCTGCAGATCAGATCCCTCAGAGTCGACCGTCTAAAAGACGTCGTACCCAGACTTTGCTACAAAAGATGGGCAAAGATGAGGACCGGGATCTGTTCGCGGTGGCTAGAGGCGAGAAAGGTGTTCGAGAAACGCCCAGCACGGTTCCTACTTATGCTCGGGCCGTGCCTTTGGAGATGGGCGAGGTGACGTATTATATCCCTGATAGGAGAGTCCAAGGAGATGATGCGATGGATGTTGATGAGCCTCAGATTGAAATTGGACTGCCGATGAAGAGATAGTTGGAAGGCTGTGCGTCCGATAAAGCTGGAATTTGGGTCTATCTAAAGAAATTTCTCCATTGGATATGGATGGTGTGGAAAGGGACCTAGGCAATTAATTAACCCCTTTGATATAATAATTTGTTAATATATAATCGTTATAATTCAAAAGAAGACGAATAGACCGTTTCATTTTCAAGGGGAAGAAAAATGAGACTTTTATAGAGTCACCAATGGGCACATCTAGACGGAATTTTAAATGAAAGAAACGCCAGTTGAAAATTTTTAATTTCTTCACTTCAGATCATGGCCATTTTTTATATCCTCATGACGCTCATGTCCGAACCAAAGTCCTTAACCGGCCGAACCATGCAATGAAACACAAAGTTGTATCGTGACTCCGCGCACCGTTTCCAGTTCCTCCTCACCACTACACACTCCTTCCGTTTCTTCCCTTAGTATCGCTTGCCTTCCCTCAGGGTGTCGGAGAACTCCTCCAGAGGAGATCTAATCAGCTTGGTCTCCTTCCACAGGTTGGGGGTCAGGAAGCCGTAGGTGTTGGAAACGGCGGTGAAGGTGGCCTTGAGGGTGTTCTCGAGGGTCTTGGTGGAACCGGCGGATGAACTGTAGGCATCCTCGACACCGGCGAGCTGGAGGAATCGCTTGACAGCGGGGGAGGCGACAATGCCGGTACCACGGGGGGCAGGGATAAGCTGTTGTAGAAAGTTGCACGTCAGTAAGAGAAGACCAAAAGAAATATACCATTTCCCTCTAATTTTCCAACCAAAGAAACAGCAACAAATGAGGCGGGCTGAGCTTACTCGGACAGTGACGGAACCGCACTTGCCAGACTCCTTGCAGGGCAGGGAGTGAGGCTGACCAAGGTTGGTACCCCAGTAACCTCTTCGGACGGGGATGACGCTCAGCTTGGCGATGATGATGGCGGCACGGATGGCAGTGGCGACTTCCTTGGAGGTCTTGATTCCGAGACCGACGTGGCCCTCGGAGTCACCAATGATGACGATGGCCTTGAATCGGGTTCGCTGACCGGCACGGGTCTGCTTCTGGACGGGCTTGATCTATATTTCGAGAAATGACAAAGACAGTCTGGTTAGCTTAAACTGATCCCATTTCTGCGGCGCTTTCAGCCCAATAGCCTCGCTTCCTCCTTTTCTCGTGTATCCTTGAGCGAGGCAAAGCAAAGCAATTGGGCCCTCTCAAGCGGAAAACTGCGCACCTTCATGACCTCATCCTTCAGCTTGGGGAGGAACTGGTCGACAATCTGGTACTCCTTGATGGGCAGAGAGTGCAGGTAGATCTCCTCCATGCTGGTGATCTTGCCAGCCTTGACAAGACGGCCCAGCTTGGTGACGGGCTGCCACTCCTTCTCCTCGCTCTTGCCGCCACGGCGTCCACGGCCACGGCCACGACCACGGCCACGATCACCACCACGACCACGGTCACCACCGCGGGAAGCGAATCCACCGCCACGAGCACCGCCGCGATCAGCCATTGTGAATTATGGGTTTGTTGTTTGTTGCGGCGAGGGAGTTGGTCGGGATAGACGATGCGCTGGATCGGCCCTGATGTTGTTTTTCGCTGAGTTGTGGCCCTCGATACTGGGGAACTTTTTCGCTGGCGGGGTCTAGCACCGTCTGGGAATTTTACGGGTGTGGACTGGGTTAGGCGAGCCCTAACAGAGCCAACTTGTGGGTCGCTGCCTCAATTGTTAGGCGAGAACACGGTGGGTCCTTTTGGAGCGCTTCACCGAGCAGCTGAGTAAGTTCAAAGAGGCTCACCTAGGTGAGTCAGCGCGGTCTTAGCGTCAAGACTTGGCTGAATCTCTTTGAAACTTGGGTTTGAAGAAAGGAACTAAGAAGACTCAGTCGAGTGTAATATTACCAGCACTGAACATGGTCAAATGTAAAACTGTAAGCTCCCTGATTCTCTTTGGAGAGTGATTTTTCTTTTTTACCAGATCCGCATGTAAGTTGAGATAGTTGAGACCACGATATCGCACTAAAGCAAGAGAAGAAAACCACGAAAGCTGAATGCTATCCGTTATTCAATATTTGTACATGGCCTAAAAGGCATTGTAATCATAAACAGAAAAGGGAGGGTATCGTGGCTCGAATAAAGCGACAGCAAGCTGTACAAACAAAAATTGCCCCTACTCCGACTTGAGGATCAAATTCTCCGACGGGTGAACCCGTTGAGCCCATTCACTGTCACACTGTCAGCTGCGTGTTCCTATCATGTAGAATAACAACAGGAAGTAGGAAACTCACGTCCAGCCACCATCATAGACTTTTCTAGAGTTGGGAAATCCTGCTACTTCCAAGGCAGTGTCAATGGCGCATGCAGTCACACCAGTTCCGCAGGTAGAGATGATGGGCTTGTTAGGGTCGACTCCTTTCTCCTCGAATACCTTCTTCAGCTGATCTGCGGGAAGAAACATTTTGGTCTCAGGATCTAGGACAGCACTGAAAGGCACGTTGATTGATCCTGGCATGTGTCCCGAGGATAGGCCTTCGCGAGGCTCAGGGTCTTTGCCTGTAAAGCGGCCACTGGGCCTCGCATCCAAGACCTGAATACCTTCTGCTCCCTCCTTGTTGGAGTCCAAAGCCACTTCTCTAGCCTCTTCGAAGCTAACGACTCTCTCTGATGCAAGCTCTGGGATAGGATATGGATTGCACTCGACATTGTACAATTCTCCGGACTCGGTGGGGTACCCCTCAGCAACCCACTGCTTGAAGTTGTTCAGGATGTGAACCTTGGGATGGCCAAATATCCTAAACGTCCATGCCACACGAGGGGCGCTAAAGATACCAAGCTCTTTCGTGTCGTAGACCACAACCACGTCCTCTCGTCGAATGCCCAATTCGCTCATAGCCGCGGCAAACCCTTTGCCATCTGGTAGCATGTGAGGGTATGGGCTGCGCTTGTCGATGGCCTTGTCCAGGTCAAAGAAGCGCGCCTTTGGGATGCGCTGCTCGCGGAAGGCTTGGATACCGGTCCGTTCATCATTGGGGAGGAACCATGCGGCGCATAGAGGGATCACTCGAGCATCGGGGCTAATCGGAGAGGGGGGATTCTTCTTCAGGGCCTCGTGAAGCTCTTTAGGTGTGACCAAGTAGGATGATAGATTGCGTCTGGTCGACATGCTGGTTCGCAAAAACTGGCTGCCCAGCCTCGGCAGCCCGACCCGGGCAGACTGGCCAACAGCGACTGAGGCCATCATCGAGAAAGATGTGAGTTATGACGCTATCGGGCTTGAGATGTCGTTTGTTTTTTTTTTTCGCTTCGGCTGTGGTCGAGCCAGGTGCTGCGCTGAAAAGAGCTCCGAGGCAGCTCGATCGGTGTTACTTATGCCTCGTTTCAGCTGATTTCAGTGGCCTGACCTTACGCGACCGGCAGCACGGCCATTGCATACAGCAAAAGAGTATTTGGTGGTGGAGATGAGGTTTGGATTAGATCATGACACGCCAAAGCTGCGAAAGGTTGTTTCGGCGCTTATGGTGGGGTGGGAGCGGGAGCTTGGACCACGCATGACATTTGCCGTGAGTGACTCGCATTGGCGACAAGCTGCAAGCTGCAAGCACTACAGACTAGGTAGGTATGTAGGAGACCGCGATTAATCCTTCCAGGCAGCCCTGGTCAATCGAGATGATTTCTGATTAATATAAGCGGCTTCTTCCGAATGTAATTGTCCCTGACAAATCATTTCAAGCTTGCAACTATCAGTGCCATTTGTCAATACTTGGCAAGGATTTAGAACTAATTGCATCCCGCTGTACATATAATGACCTGGGGACCTGACGCAATACACTGAAGCTGCCCCGTTCTTCTACCCCAATCTTAGCACTCGGCAGCATCATTAAGCGTCGGCTTAGACGGGATTTATATGACAATCAACCATTATAAACTTTACTCTCCATTGATTCGCTACCGAACAGAGACCAAACATGGCACTAAATCGATGGCTGTACGCCCTGCCGCTTGTGCTGCCAACGGCACTGATGCTGCGGGCTTGGGCTCTGCAAGCACCCGTGGGCGCCTTCATCGAGGAGATCGCCAGCCAGGGACGATATGTCCTCAAAAATGGAACCAGCGTCCCTATCCAGACGAGCGTGTTTGGAATCCCGATTCTTGACAAAGCCTTTTCTCCGCTCGCCATCATATTCAGTCCATTGGCTTTCTATGAGGATCCTAGGGCCTGGTGGCAGTGCGTCGTGTTCTTGACAGACGGTGCTTCTATTGGGACCCTGCTTATGTTTGAGTCTCTGAGGAATGCCAACCAGGGGACTCTCTTCCAAGCGTAAGCAATATCTTCTGACCCTCTGTTTTCTAGTGTTTAATTTCTTTTGTCCTGATTTATATGATACAGAGCATTCTTTGTGCCTACTTTCTTGGGCCAGTTTGTGACCCTTGGGGCTGTCGCACCACTTTACCTCTACTTGTTCTACGCACTCTCTCCGCTGAGCAAGTATTCAAATGCCAATGCTCGACAGTTTGATCGGGCTGGCGTGGCCGCCGCTCTGCCATCAACCTTTGCCTCATTTCTTTTTCCTCTTGGCATCTCCTTCTTCCATCCTAATCTCGAGGTGAGACACCTGGCGAACTGGTATTGGCAAATTTTCCCAATAACGAGCTCCATACTACTCTTTGCGCTGTCAAGTGTGATTAGGCCGTTTGTTGCCAGTCGTCAAACCGAAGCCGTCCAGCAACACAGCAACACGAGTATAAATGTCCGAGGAGGGATAATGGCAACAGTTAGTGCGGCTTCTTACTGGTACATGCTTCTCTTTTCACCCCTTCCTGTGTCAGAACTGTTTTTCCCCAAATATTTTATCGAGCTCCCTGAGGATGCGTTGACAGCAACTTTTACGCTCCTCCAATATGATTATATCAGCGCTTCTGCAACAGTGTTGCTTTGGTTGGCATATAATTTTGGAGACCTTAAAAATGCGGGTGTCTGTCAGGTATCCTGGGTTCGAATCGTGCTCTACTCTGTTGCTATCGGTGTTCTTGGTGGTCCAGGAGTGCTGGTCTGGTTTGGATGGCTGGCAAGAGAAAACATGATGGCAAAGCTCGAGCATGCAAAGACGGGCTAAAATATGCCTCACCTAAAGGGGTGAAATGTATCATGGTCGTTTTTGATCAAAGAAATCTGTTCAAAATGCTTGTATTTAGCATTGAGTTTGCCTGTATAGCTACGATTTAACTACCCAAGTCCATAGCTTAGTGACGAGATTGCTACCCTGGAGCTAATTGGGCACTTCGAATTTCACTTCCCAACACAACTTCGTATCGGCTTCATCATCACAACAACAGATCCAACACCACCCATCGATGTTTTGAAAAGTCATCTCCCCCAGAGAAGGGGGCCTTACCAAACTTCACTATGAAAGTCACCATCAAGGAATGGAACTCCGTCGCCACATGGCAGTGGGATATTCCCGAGGACGACGTTTGCGGCATCTGCCAGGCTCAGTTTGACGGGACGTGCCCTACCTGCAAATATCCTGGCGATGACTGCAGCCTATGTACGTGCAGCTTCTGATTCTGGACTTGCCGCCGGGAAATGACGCGTTAACCAGCTGTTTATAGTATCTGGAAAATGTGGGCACAGTTTTCATATGGTTAGTCGGCCGCCTGACGTATGTTTTGAAGAGCGTTAGTAATGCTGATACGAGAATAGCACTGCATCATGGAATGGATTAAGCAAGAATCTTCAAAGGGGCAATGTCCCATGTGTCGACAGCGTATGATTTCTTTTCCTTTTGTGACACTTGACTGTCACAATACCAACTAATGGTTTGCATAGCTTTTGAATGGCAAGATCAGGCTGATGAGACGCCTGGGCCTAATGAGACCCCCATACAAGCAGAGTTACTATAAATAACATAGAGACAAGGTTACGGACACGGCGAATGGTAACTTACCAGGAGATGAGAATTACAGAAGCACTAATCTTAACAAATTGAACTACTCATTATCATCGGCCAAGTCGCGTGCTCATATATACATAAATTATCTAGAATGCGTGCTACCCAGAAAGTTCTACAACAAGCTCTGGCAATCTCTTCGCTATCTGCTCATCATGAGGAAACAACTGTCCCGAATTCCTCTAGGCTTCTGGGACATAGACTCCATCCTTGCAGAGCACTACCACCTTTTTGAAGAATCGCCGCCACTCTAGGGGATCTCCCTTGATCTTGACAAACCGAATGTCTAGCACTTCGAAGCCATCTGGAAGCGGCTGCTTATCCACGCATATTTCTCCGTGCAGACTCTGTCGACGACCATCGACGGCACGGATCTTGATGGTGACTATGGGGCTACTGTTGGGATTAGGCGTGACGGGTGCCAAAGGCACGTTTAGCTGATGCAGTGCGTCGCTGAGCATCTGAATAATGTGGGCAGAGGGCACATGAGAAAAGAAGCGGGTAAGCGATTCGGGAGGACAAATGTCACGGAACCGCCGAGCTTGTTGCGTCATTGTCATAGACGGGCCTGGAACTTGTGAGAATTGTGACATGGAGGGCTCATCCGCAAGGGTGTCAAGGAGCATGCGACGGGCGTTATAAGAACCAGTGGGCAAAGACGACGGCAGGGCCCTGGATCGAAGAACGGGAGCCTCCCAATCCCAGTCTTTATCGATGATGGGAGTAACAGGGGCTTCCGGCTGGGTAGAGGAGAATCGCCCGGCATTGAGTCCAGAATCGATAGTCGGATCATGGGATGTTGGGAGGTAGTTATGTTTAGTCGTAGGTATGTGGCTGAGATCGATTCGCAGGTTTTCTAGCATCTTTGTGGCCAGGCCAATGGGATCAAGTATTCTGCCATCGGCAGTGAGCAGCGGGTTATGACGCGTATACCAAGGATGCTGTCGTATCTGAGCAAAAGTGAAGCGTTTCTGAGGATCGACGGACATCATGCCCCTGAGAAGGGAGAGTGCGTCCTGAGGCAGTCTCTCCCAGAGCGCATCTGAGCTCTTCCCTGATGTTTTTACGTACTCGCCAAACTCCCAGCTTGTCGACGATGGCTCATCCCAGGGCGTGTTGCCGACCAGCAAGACGAAAAGGATGACTCCGCATGACCATATATCGACGAGGTCTGGTGAATACTTGGCTGAGTTGGGCGCTCTCTTATCCACTCTCCCACAGGCAAGAATCTCCGGCGCGATATATGGCGGGCTGCCACATAACGTTGAGCTGGTCTTGCGCTGGCCCTTGTACTCAAACATGGTTGCCATTCCGAAATCGGCCAGCTTCAAGCTTCCATCTTGAGATAGGAGAATATTCTCCGGCTTGAGATCGCGATGTGCCACGCCCTTGGAATGCATGAAGCTCACGCCGCCTACCAGCTGGAGGAAGTAGATTTGAGCAATATCTTCTCGGACACCAACATCCGCCTCGATCTTGTCAAAGAGGTCACCGCCCTCTGCATACTCCATGGCTATCCATCGCCACACAGAGTCTTCTCCCGAAGCAAACCACTCGATTACGTTGGGATGCTGGCCGATGTGAGAGTGGAGTGAGACCTCCATGGCAAGCTGTTTTGCAGAGATGCGGCCATGCTTAGTGGCGTATCCCTTGTGAATGAGCTTGACGGCGAACACTGGACTTGATGAATCTAATGGGATAGCTTTTTTTATTCTGTATTGGTTCTATGTATTAGTAAGAGTTGGATGGCAAGTTTTGAAAAAAATGAAAAAAGAAAGGGAGCAAAAAGAGAGAAAAAAAAAGGGTGAATTGAGGTGTGCTCATACGAAGCATAGGCACCGCGGCCAACGGTTTTGGATATAATCCGGAAGGGCAACTCCTTTGGTAATGGGTCAAGCTGCGACTGTGAGACAATCAGCGGTTTTGACATGAAATTGGCGTGCGTGAAAAAGAATTGTAGCGTTGGCCGTATCGAAGCTTTTGGGAAAAGTGCACAATCACTCACCATGATTTCTATTAGTGAGACTGCTTTTTCTATGCAGCGTCTTGTATCCACGCAAAGGCGAAATTTGATATAGAGTAGAAAAGAAAAGAGAATAAAGAGTAAAAAGACAAATCAAACACCAGAACGCAATGGTAAGAGTTCAAATCTTACTCAGAGAGCATGGTTGAAGCCACTAATATTAGGCAGTAATATTGATTTGGACTGTTGTTCACGATAACGCGCCTGTACCGTGTAAAGAGGTTTTGGAGCCGATTGAATTTATGGGCCTTTTCACTTTTTTGCGTTTTACCTGTGCTCTGTTCTCGCTGGAGCCCCGCCACTATCCATTGGCTGCGCAGCTCAACGGCTTATCTGCTCGCTGCGTTGCTGCGGCAAACAGGCCCCCAAATAGCGGCCCCCCATTCACTGAAGCTACAGCGTGGCTGACCGGCAACAGAAGCGTGTCTTAGATCTGAACCCGACGTGTTTTTTTCTTCCCGATCTTGACCTTCCCATCAATTTAGATCCCCGTCATTATCTCGTGCGCATAACCCTTGCTTTTCTTTCTCTTCTTTATTCAGGCTTTCCCCCAGTTATATCCTTTTCTTCTCCTTAAATCTCGTCACCTTCCACCCTTATTAGGTAATTGCCTATACTGAACCTGTTTCGTTATTGCCCAACGCGGAACGCCTGCCGCTTATTTGCATCCCTTATCTACGTCAAACCCTACTACCTATCTTCATCTCTTCTTTTCGAGACGGCTTTTTTCTGATTCGCGTACTTTGGACCGGTTTTTTATATCTAATAACTCACTCCTTTGTTCATACCCGAGCAATATACCATCGTCTGAAAGAACCAGTTTTTTGTTTACAATGGATTACACCGAGGATAATCAGAACGCCGCCCCCGGCAGCGTCCAAGCCTCTAAGCTCAATGCCGCTCGCAAGGGTCCAGACTCCCAGAGCGTCACCAAACGGTACGCCCTCTCCTCGCGATGGAGCTCACTCGATCAAGGTGCTAACTCAGTTCTCAACAGACTCCAGACCGAGTTGATGACCCTTATGACCTCGCCTGCGCCCGGAGTCTCCGCGTTTCCCTCCGCTGATGGCAACCTCATGTCCTGGACCGCCACCATTGAGGGCCCCGAAGACACGCCATATTCTGGTCTCACATTTAAGCTGAGCTTCGCGTTCCCTTCCAACTATCCTTACGCTCCACCTACCGTCCTCTTCAAGACGCCCATCTACCACCCCAACGTCGATTTCTCCGGCCGCATCTGCCTCGACATTCTCAAGGACAAGTGGACCGCCGCCTACAACATTCAGACTGTCCTACTGAGCTTGCAAAGCTTGCTCGGTGAACCCAACAAGTATGTCTCCCTCCTCACTCGTGCTATACAAAGCCATGGAACAGCCACTAACTGATACCGTTTCTGCAGTGCATCTCCTTTGAACGGCGAGGCCGCAGAGCTGTGGGACAAGGACCCCGAAGAGTTTAAAAGGAAGGTTTTGGGGCGACACCGCGATGTTGACGAGGAGTGAAGCATTTTCTTAGCGTGCAGGCTTTATGATTTTACGTTATTGGGTACCTGGAGTCATTGGAGCACACTTCAATCGTTTGATAGGGTATTTGGGTGTATTTTGCATTTCCACAACTAGGGCTGGGGAAAGGGGGCTGTCCGTCCCTTCCACAAGCGCATGACCGGTTACCACATATAATAGAACCTGTCAAATTCATCATGACAGACAAATCACCGCCTAACCAGGCTGCTTCCCGTCACTCTCCCTTCTGTAACAGTCAGGGTCTCTCTACCGCGGCAGTTGTTGCGGAGGCGAGATGTTTCGTTGTGGAATAAAAAAAAACCTTTGTTGATCACATTGCCGTCTTTTATTTTAAGCGTGAAAAGCTAGAAGAGCCGGTTGCAACTCCGTAATGCCATGCCACCCCAGAACCATTCCCAAAGAGAAACAAGTTTTCTTTACTCCTCAACGACCTCAGTCGCAAGGCCCTTGGGGTTCTTGACATTGACTGCCTGAACGTAGCTGTACAACTTCTCCTTGGCACCCTCCTCATCGTTTCGTCGTCGGGAAATGCGGACTCGGATTCTGTAGGCGACACCCTTAACACCCTGCTCCCAAACCTTCTTGTTCAGGGAAGGGTCGATCCGGACGTCAGAGGTACCCTAGGGGAAAGGAGTTAGCATTCATGGATCCATTGGTGAAAAAGTTTCGTGTCCATCGCCAAGCAGCCAAACTGCGCTTATCGGGATGTTGCGATTGGGAAGTCGTACCATGGCCTTGGTGGCGAAAGACTTGATCTCCTTGATGGCACGGGGAGCCCTCTTCTTGAAGGAAACACCATGCAGCTTTACACGTCAACTGTTAGCATCTCCTTCCATACGCGAAATCCTGAATTATCTCCTTTGCTTTCTCGTTCTCTTCTTTCCCTCCTCTTCTTTCTGCTTTTCGATAATTCGTTTTGGGTAATCGAGACGACATACTCTCTTGTGCATGTGGATGGTGTACTCGCGGGCAACCACGTCCGCAATGGCGGAGCGCTGAGTAGGCTTCTTTGACGACATTTCTGGATTGGTTTTGATAATTAGTTTTCGAATCGGATGAGAGGTGGCGTAGTTGCGGGTGTTGAGGATTCTCTTGCGACCAGCGTTTGACAGAGATTCCGTATGTGAGAGGGAGAGAGGTGTTGTGCGCTTCGTACCTGCGGATCGACTCTTCACGGTCTTGACGTTGGGAAAGGTGGTTGAAGTCGGAAATGCCAAATTCCACAAAATCTTTGTGCGTAGGGCAGGCTCGAAATTCCCGTGGTGGGGGTAGCGAGCCAATCATGGCAAAGTCGCTGCGGGCTCCACTGAAATTCACGTGACGGCTCAACTCGCCGGTCGCATCCTCACCTGAGGCATCAATTTTCGACGCCAGTCTGCGCCCCAAGCGGAAATGAAACCAGCGCCAAACTAAATGACCCGTTCGTTCTCCATACTGCGTCAAGGAAAGCCATCGCCGCTGCATTCCAGCCATCACCACCGGCAACGAGCTGCTACAAGCTCCTGTGCGACGGCTTCTCTTTTCGGTCCCTCGCTCGTTTCGTCCTATCGCATCATTCTTCGTCGCTTTTGTCCGCGCCCAGATTCGCCGTTACTCCCCTGGCAGGGAGATTTCTTCCCTCTTCGCGGGCTTCTGTTGTTGCTCGTTGCACAAATAATTACGACTAGTAACGAGAGTCCTGAGCTATCGCTGGAAAGAAATACTATATCAAGCTCAACAAATTCGCTCGTTTCATTATAATCAACAATCCTACAACCCACCATGGCGGACAGTCGAGAAACCACGGCGTCAACCACGCCCCAGCCCGACATGACGCGCAACCGATTGCCGACTCTTTTCGAGGTTCTGAGCCGTCGCACCCTTCCTCCCGTTGATCTCTTCTCGTTCTACATCTATATGCGAGACCAACAGCGATCCGTAGACTACCTCGACTTTTGGTATGAACTATTGAACAACAACAGGCAGAGTATGTGATGAAATACTGACAAATTGGTCAGGCTGGATGTCTCACAACACATGTCCCTTTGTCGCCATTACGTCCGCGAACTTCGACGATCGGTTCTCATAGCGACGCCAGACCTGGAAAAGACATCTAAGCGATCGTCGATACTGGAGCTTGGCGACTTGGAATCCCGTGCGGCTGGTCCATCGGGGTACCCAACTGAGAAGGAAAGAGATCACGATGCGCATATGTCGGCCTTCTTGCGCGAAGATCAGAGCCACGAATCACCTCAGACGCAGAGCGGCTCAAATCACACGAAGCCTAGCCCTCCATTCACTCAATCCCATGATGCGACGGACTCAAACTCTCCGGCCCATACGGTTGCTCGACAGGATATAAGGGCCTCTGCCGAGAAAATTCTCTATACCTTCTTGATGCCTGGAGCCGAGAGAGAGATTACGCTGCCTGGATCAATCACTCAGGACGTTACGGCTAACATTGAAGAGTATGGTCGAGATGATCCAGAAGTATTTGATGTGGCCAAGGACTATGTATTCCAAGCAATGGAACGAGATGCATTTCCTGGTTTCTTGCGCTTGAAGGCATTGGGTAATCTCATTCCCCCGACGCTTGTTATGCGTCTTATTATTGGACTTGTTGCCATGTTTGGAGCTTTTTGGACTTCATTCATCCTCATCTTTCTTGATAAATCTAGAGCACTCCGATGCTGGGTAAGTTTTGTCTAATCCGACATTAAACTTGTACGATATAGCGTGCTAACTTATCACCGACCCTTAGCTCATTCTCCCATTCACTATTGGCGTATATTTCCTGGCGTCATACCAGTATTCCCTAGATCCAATCTTGGCACTCATCGGATTCAGCGAGTACACACCCTTTAACTTCTCGCGCATTAGAGAACCCTATGTTCGCCGCATGCTTGCGAAGCGCGCTATGATGGTATTGACTGTGACTCTACTGATCGATGCTGGGCTATGTGTTTTGTTCATTCTTGTTCCGGGCAAAAGACTCTAAACCTTGATCTCGCATGTCTCTTCTTAGCCAGAGGATGCCGGACATCGTACTGGCTTGTACGCACAATCTTGGACACATTCTCCGTGCGCGCACCGCTGAGAGCAAGATTCATCTAATTCAAATGACGACCGTTACGAACAGTTTTATAGGGTTTAATCGGGCGATAGGATACCTTTCCCGTGGACACTAGGACCCAAGAAAGAGACCAACAGGGATTTTGGCGCGAGCTTTTAGATTTTGTTTCTGTTTTTATATATACTCACACATGTTTTCACTTTCACTCTATATTTGTATTACAGGCAATTTTTATCATCAGCCGCGGCTTGGAGTTGCTGGTTGAACGTTTATATTCCTCAGCAACATCGGGGTACTGGATGGCTTGTGACCTGTTTAAGTCATTTATTGTATCATATTTCGTCGTGACTATCTAAATCTACATCACATTGGAAGTCTAAGTTCCGCTTGTCTTGCCAACGCTCTGCCTTGCCTCTGCTACAACTTCCTCTTACTGGCTCTTTTAGCCACGTCGTCTGCTGGGTATAAATCATCGATATCCATCAACTCGGCATTTGACTCCGTACCCGTGGGGTCAGCCATGGAGCGTTTGCTAATGCCCCTGCGAGTCAAATTGTCCCGCGGGTATCCTGAGAGCATATTTTTATCTTCAGTCACACTTTCCACCAAATTCTGTAGCTTTTTGTCCGAGGCCCGCTTCTCTCTCTCTCGTACAGTGGCCGCATCGCGAATGCTCTTGATTTGCTCTTCGAGGTCTCCGAGGGTAGACTGACAACGACCAGCCCAGTTTTGAAGAGCGCTAATCATATCTGGGATTGTGCCGGGAGCGAGATCTCGGAGAGGAGCAACGCTTGTCACTGATACGGCTTGGCGGGCAGGGTCGAGGGTGGCGTGCAAGAGGCCGGCGTATATGGCTGTGATGACGAGGTCCTCCACCTCCCGGGGCGAGGCGAGGCCTAGAGCCTTTTGTAACGCATCGTATGATAAGCTTGATCGATCGCTAGCCAGGGATAGCAGGGAGAGCTGCCGCAGCTTGAGGGTCTGGGTGTCGTTCAGGGTGGGTAGGTCGGCGGTGGCATGGTATGTCCCGTAGGAACCGTAGGAGAAGATTTGGAGTAGGGTGAGGTATGCTGCGAACTCTGAGTTGGCTGCGAGGGCCTGGATCTGCGGTGTCTGGAGGAGCTCGGTGAAGAGGAAGGTGTTTGGAGCTGAGGTTGCGCGAGTGACGAGATCAGCGGCAGCGCGGGGAGAGGTGGCTGATTTTGAGAGGGCCAGGAAAGGCTATGGAAATCGCTTGTGTGAGTAAGGATGTCATAAACAGAAGGAATATGTTGAAGTTGGGGTTAGCCGTACCTCTAAAGCGTTTAACGCCTTTGTTTGCTCCATGATGATGCTGTTTCTGTGACTGTGACTTAATTTGTTAAGCGTGATGGCGGGCTGATGGATCACGCTCTAGAGAGGCTGCCGCACGCTCAGTGCGGCGGGGAGTGGGGTAAGATTGATCTCGATCTGATAGGCGAGGCTGATTGATAGTTTGGCAAATGAAAACACCAAAAAAAGAAGTAGTGATAGTATATATGGTCTCGATGGTTTGGAGTGGGAATCTGCAGTCTGGATCTGCCTTTGCGTAGGTTAGGTGTATCAGGAAGGTTTGAGGTTTTGGATGGCGGCGATGCTGAGTGGTTGCTGGGCCTAGCTGCAGTGGAGAGGCGTGAAACAGAAGTCACTTGGGCGATTTTAGGTTCAAGGTGTACGTTGGGCTAGTGAAACTAAACACTAGCAATACTATTGTCACAGCTATTCTCATTCAGCTACCAGTACTCTCGACTACGATTTGATGTCATGAGATGAGATACGAAAGCTTCTTTTCAAGCTTCAAAAAGCTGAAGAAATTAGTGGTGCATATCACAGGACTGCCTATCAATCATGGTAGCTGTTGTTCCTATTGCTAATCCGTGCAAAGCAGTATTGAGGTAGCTTAGCTGGGCCTAGCTGCCAATGCCCCGGATATCTTCATCTGTGCTGCCAGCCACATCTACAGACTCACTTCGTATACGCGCATTAATAAAACGTGTCGATTGAGTTGACCCGAAGGATGATAACAGATAGACTACGACAGGCTTAACGGGCCGAAAGAACGGTTCTATCCGCGAAAGCAAAGTTCCGAAGAAACATTGCTACCAAACATCTGCATGAAGAAGAGGGGAAGACCCCGGGCATAGGTTGTCATCTTTTAGTTGACATTCAAACAAGTTGAGCTTACACGAAAGGGGGAAAGATTCTGCATGAAATATTGGTTACTTGTGCGAGGTGCTGGCGATGCTACACAACAGCATTGGTAGTGGCATTTGGTGCATGCTGACCAGAGAGAAAGCAGAAATAGCAGGGAGTAGATTAGGGCTCGCCGCATGCTGACCCAGCGGAAACTGCGACATTGGCAATTTCAACGGACTTTTGTGCTCTCGGACAACATCACTCGGATCTACGAAGTAACGAGTTTAAATTCTTGGACGAGGCGCAAGTGTTGTTCACGTAACACGAGTACGGTAGGGATATGTAGAAGACTGATTGTAGACTACTGGCCTAATCCGGTATTTAGGCGGCTACGAAGTAAAACATTGATCAAGTGCCCGGTAATGGGCAGCAGTACTGCTGTGAGCGCCTGCCCAAACGAAATGACGGCGGTCCTTCATCAGCATTTGACAGGCGGCAGGGCGATTATTCAGCCAAGCACTGGCACCGCAGCGTTGATGAAACACGGGCCCAGCCTCTGTGCCGCTGGGGGCTTCACGATAGGCGGCTGCTAGCCTCCCTAAAACGCCAGTAGTGCGACAGCTGCAACGCCTCCGTCTTCCTCCTATCTGGGCTTTTTACGTATAATTGGGTGCCGAGTCGACAAAACACTCCCACGCGTCTCTATTCTTGTATTCCCTTCTCTCATTTCCTTCACTTTTTTTTTCATTTCCCTCATTCACTTCTCCTCCACCTTGCGGCCCTGGCTGGTCACATTGTGCTTTTATTCCCTTCTTTGTCTTACCTGGCTCGCTGATTCCGGCTTTTACGCTTCCCGAAGCCAAGCCTCGTTCCTATTGAGCCACTTTATTTTCTTATTTTCCCACCATTCCGGATACCACCAGAGCAGCGCTATTCTGGGGCGACCAACCGCGAGCCGTCACACACCCATCAGCGACCGGGCGCCCGTATTGGCCACAAGCTTTGGCTCTCTGTGGCGCTATTCACAGCGTCCTGGCTCCTTCTCTTCCTGGACTGTGCGTGCGAGGATTTCTAATAGTACACGGTAACCTCATGCACCCTTGCATCTCCCTTGCATCTCACTCTCTCTCGTGGCCTGGTATAAATGAGCATCATTTACCTGTTTGTTGCGGAGGGCCTTGACTGGGTTCCCCTCTGACGATAAGCGCCGCGGCTTGCTCGGCGAGACACTTTTTGCTGACAAAATCCGATCCGGCTAGATACTATTAAATCCTCATTCCCAGCCGTTTGCGTTTTTTCTTCCGGAGCTGGTCTCTGAATAAATCCGACGCTTGGTTCGCTCATAGGCCTGGTCACCGAACGATCCAGCTTCTTGTTTGTTTCTGTTTCCTCGTGCGATGCTTGCGGCTTCAAGGTGAACAACGTTAAGAGAAAGGCTTCGCGCCGTGCCCTACGCGGGCCATTGCTTTTCCCGCTTGTGAGACATAATACATAAACACAAGGAAAAGGACCAAAAAAAAAAGTAGTAGAACTTGAAGAGAAGCATCATGGCTCCGGCATACATCAAGGTCCCCGGGCGGGATATCGATGAAGATGCAGGCCTTGCGCCCAAAAGTGCGCACATGGCAACGACCACTCTGCGCGTTGGCGGCATGACGTATGTTGCGCCAGCTTCCATCCGAACTCGAAGGGGTTTCAAATAACGTTCGTCACTGACTTGTCTTTTTCTTCTTCTACAGATGCGGAGCATGTACGTCGGCAGTCGAGGGTGGTTTCAAGAATGTCCAAGGTGTCGACAACGTCTCCGTCAGCCTCGTCATGGAGCGTGCAGTTGTCACGCACGATGCGCAGATTGTCAGCTCCGAGAAAGTCCGAACGATCATCGAGGATACCGGATTCGACGCCGAGGTTGTTTCGACGGATCTCTTGACCCCAGTAGTTACTCGCTTTACAGACAAGGCGATCGAGAGTGAAGACGACGGAGTAGTAACGACAACGGTTGCCATTGAGGGCATGACATGTGGTGCCTGTACCTCTGCCGTAGAGGGCGGTTTCAAGGACGTTCCTGGCGTCAAGAGCTTCAGCATATCGCTCCTTTCAGAACGAGCCGTTATCGAGCACGATTCGAAGCTTCTGTCTGCCGAGAAAATTGCGGAAATGATTGAAGACAGAGGCTTTGGCGCCGAGGTTGTTGAGAGCAAAGCCAACTCAAAGGCCGAAGGTCCGGCAAGTACCGTTGCCACTACAACTGTGGCCGTCGAGGGAATGACATGCGGTGCCTGCACTTCTGCTGTCGAGGGAGGCTTCAAGGGAGTTGAGGGCGTCTTGAAATTCAACATCAGTCTTCTGGCCGAGCGAGCAGTCATTACTCATGACACTGCGAAGCTCTCTGCTGACAAGATTGCTGAAATAATTGAAGACTGCGGATTTGATGCTACAGTATTGTCTACCGCTTTTGACGCCAACGAGCAAAATGGCACATCAACTACCTCCCAGTTCAAGGTCTATGGTAACCCAGATGCTGCCGCTGCAAAGGCCCTCGAAGAAAAGCTGCTGGCTCTTCCTGGTGTCCAGTCTGCTTCACTTAGCCTCTCTACGGATCGCCTTTCCGTCACACATAAGCCTACCGTCACTGGCCTTCGCGCAATTGTCGAGGAGGTAGAAACAGCGGGCTTTAATGCCCTGGTGGCGGAAAGCCAGGATAACAACGCACAGCTCGAGTCGTTGGCCAAGACAAAAGAGATTACAGAGTGGAAAAACACCTTCAGGCTCTGTGTCTCAGTGGCTGTCCCGGTCATGTTCATTAGCATGATTTTGCCAATGGCTTTCCCGAGCTTAGATTTCGGTGTCATAGAGATCATCTCTGGTCTCTATCTCGGCGACCTCGTCTGCATGATCGCCATCACACCAATTCAGTTCGGTGTCGGAAAACGGTTCTACATTGCAGCCTACAAGTCACTCAAGCACCGTGCCCCCACGATGGACGTCCTTGTCGCTCTTGGTAGTTCATGCGCATACTTCTTCAGCGTTATCGCCATGATCATTTCCATTGTTCTACCACCACACACTCGACCAGGTGTGTTCTTCGAGACTAGCGGCATGCTTTTCACTTTCATCTCCCTTGGCCGCTTTCTCGAGAACCGCGCCAAAGGTCAAACTTCAAAGGCTCTGTCCCGGCTCATGTCTCTCGCTCCGTCAATGGCAACCATTTATGCCGATCCTATTGCCGTAGAGAAGGCATCGGAATCATGGGCCAAATCTGCGGAGGAGTCTACAGACAACATGGCTCAGCGTTCAGAGGAGGCAAATGCTTCGGTGTATGAGGAAAGAAACATCCCGACCGACCTGCTCCAGGCCGGAGACATCGTCGTTATTCGACCTGGTGATAAAATCCCGGCCGACGGTGTCATCGTCAGGGGCGAAACCTATGTCGATGAGAGTATGGTAACCGGAGAGGCTATGCCTGTGCAGAAGCGGCTTGGTTCCAGCTTGATCGGAGGAACGGTCAACGGCAACGGCAGAGTGGACTTCCGTGTCACTCGAGCAGGTCGCGATACCCAACTCAGCCAAATTGTGAAGCTTGTTCAGGACGCCCAGACCACGAGGGCCCCTATCCAGAAGCTGGCCGACACTTTGGCAGGCTACTTTGTTCCTTTGATCTTGGCTCTGAGTTTACTTACTCTCCTCGTGTGGTTGGTTCTCAGCCATGCTCTTCCCCACCCGCCCATGATCTTCATGAAGGACAACAGCGGTGGCAAGGTCATGGTTTGCATCAAGATCTGCATCTCTGTTATTGTCATTGCATGCCCTTGTGCTCTTGGTTTAGCGACACCAACTGCTGTCATGGTGGGAACCGGTGTTGGAGCTGAAAATGGTATCCTCATCAAGGGCGGAGCTGCACTGGAGACGACCACCAAAATCACCCAAGTCGTATTTGACAAGACTGGCACAATCACGCGCGGTAAGATGAGCGTTGCCAAGTTGGAGTTGGTTTCCGGCTGGAAGGGCGATTCGCTTCGAAAGAGACTCTGGTGGTCAGTTGTTGGTCTTGCCGAGATGGGCAGCGAACACCCGATTGGCAGAGCCATCTTGGCTGCTGCTAAAGAAGGGCTCGGAATCCTTGATGCTGAGAGTGCTGTTCCCGGTAGCGTTGTTGACTTCAAGCTTACTGTCGGTGGAGGAATCAACGCCCTAGTTGAGCCTGCGTTATCTGGTGAGAGAACTCGCTACAGGGTTCTTGCCGGAAATGTCAAGTTCTTGGAAAGCAACGGTGTCGAAGTTCCTCAAAGCGCCATTGATGCCGCGGATCAGACCAACTCCTCAACAAAGGGTAAGGGCAAAGGCTCGTCGTCAGAAAATGTGAGCGCAGGAACAACAAACATCTTTATTGCCATCGATGGAAATTACACTGGTCACCTCTGCCTTTCGGATATCATCAAGGATGGTGCGCTCTGGGCAATCTCTGTGCTTCACCGTATGGGAGTCAAGACAGCCATGGTTACCGGAGACCAGCGCCCTACCGCCTTGGCCGTTGCGGCCGTTGTCGGCATCTCTCCTGAAAACGTATACGCCGGTGTTAGCCCCGACATGAAGCAAACCATCATCAAGCAGATCCAAGAGCAAGGTGAGGTTGTTGCCATGGTGGGAGACGGCATCAACGACTCTCCCGCCCTGGCGACGGCCGACGTAGGCATCGCCATGGCCAGCGGAACAGACGTCGCTATGGAGGCAGCAGATATCGTCCTGATGCGCCCCGACGACTTGCTCTGCGTCCCGTCCGCCATGCACCTCACCCGACACATCTTCCGCCGCATCAAGATGAACCTGGCATGGGCCTGCCTGTACAACATCATCGGCATCCCCCTCGCCATGGGCTTCTTCCTGCCCCTCGGCGTCCACCTGCACCCCATGGTGGCAGCGGGCGCCATGGCCTGCAGCAGCGTCAGCGTTGTGCTGAGCAGCCTGATGCTCAAGTACTGGAAGCGACCCCAGTGGTTCGAGGAGAACTCGCTCAACACCTCTGGCAACAGCAACCTGCAGTGGAAGAGCGGTTCCGGCATCGTTGGCTGGGCGAGGGAGATGTTTGGCCGGGCTCGTGCGAAGCGCAGCGAGGGATATGTTGCCCTGGAGGATCTAGAGGCTTAGATGTAAACACTCATCGTCTAGGTATATTGGGGTTGCTAGCTAGGAACACGTAGGAGTATACGATGATAGCAGTGAAGTGGAGTTGGATCTTGTAAACGAAATGGTAATTGGCCGGACCAAGGGAGCATAGCGTGCATGTTGGACGAATAATGGCGTTTCAATTAGGGGACATAATACTATAACAGAGATGTCTTTCAGAGTTTTGAAACTTGTTGCAGAACTTTGTGTGATTTGAAGAATAGCAAGTTCTCGCTGTGATCAACCAATTGATCATGTAGTAACCATTTTAGAAAGCAAAAGGGGACTAGCAAATCATCATTAAGAGGTAATTGATCGAGTTAATCATAAACTTTTTGGAAAAAGGCCATCGTGTCTCAGTACTCTCATCTCTATCTCTTTAGCTCTAATGTCCTAGTAGTCAAACAGTATCTATGTACATGTCTCCAAACCAGCCCGCAGGCAACTTTACCCCAGAATGCATACAAAAGTAATCTTTCGACGAGAATGTAAAGAACACAAGAATACCCCAATGCTTTCCCCAAAACCCATAATGCAGGAAAATTGAAAACCCCCTTAGCCAGAAAAGACGCCAAAAACATCATGCCCTATATCCAATCCCAAACTCCAAATCCGAGTCTTTCAAATCAGTCCACCCGCTCCCAGAGTCGGCTCTTCCCCTTCGAAAAGTACATCGTTGTGAGGCTCGCAGAGATCTCTCCACGCAACAAACTCACCATTCATGTCCGTCCAGGCCCCGCCGAATTCGTCGTCAGGGGTATCGCCAGCTGGATAGTAGTTTTTCGGAACCCACTTTCGGCCATCGATGAGTTTATGCGTCAGAGGTTCGCCGGCCTGCGAGGCCTTGACCGCGGCTTTGAGTAAAGATTTGACATATGGGTAGAACCACAGCGTGGGATATTCAAACGCGACAGACTCCTTGGGCCCAGTGCAGTGCCAAAGGCCGTAAATATGATGGGTGATGAAGTTGACGCCCAGTTCGACAACGCTAAGCCAATCTGCTGATGTAGATCCTGGGTGAGCTTCTGGGATAGCATCATAGAGCTTGCTTAACGAAGCCACGATGCTCTTGGGCATCTTGATGGTGGGGGCCTCAAACAAAGGCCCTTCTTCGCGGACATCAACGGCAAGTTTGGTTGTCAAGCCAGATTCATTGAATTGCATATATCCAAAATAAGGCTGATATCCCGTCCTGGTTTGGAACAGGGCAGACTCGTACTCAATGGCGACATGGTACTCGGTCGTCTGGAAAGGATTGCTCTTGGCCGGGATGATCTTGTCAGGCGGGAAGTCTGGGATTTCGCTGCCCATCGTCCTCGACCGCCAATATTCCTGTCGGCCCCAAACATTGGCCATGTAGTACTGGTCCGATTCTCTGAACTCGTACAAGGGATCGTACGTGGCCCTGATCTCGTCCATTGTGGCAGCAATATATTTTCTTAGGTCACCAATGGGTCCCATGATTGTCCCCGAATTCAGCCACCGCGGGTCGGCGTAGAACATGGCATTATCTCCCCTATCCGGGCCCCAAGCAGCTGGTGGGATGGGCGATTCAGGAGCAGTCCAGCATCGAGGCGCTACGGGATCAATGGGCCAGCAGATTTTGTCAGGCCCCAGGAAGATGGTCTGGCGAAGGCCACGACGGTGAAGCTCTCCAACGCTGATATCAAACCGTTGAGCTAGATGCGCATCTGCGCGCTCGGCAACTTGAAAGTATCTCTCGACCATAATCTCGGGAGGCAGCTGGATGAGAATATCATAACCATCCACGATGATCGCCAGATCATCATCTTCATCGGGAGGGAGGGAATTGAAATATCGCTCCATGGCTCGCAGCTTGGCAAGATGAGTCTTTGCGGCATCGAATTCGTCCTCTCCATGCCAGCCTAGCAGTGTAGGAACTGGATAGCGATTGACGGCCGAAGAAACTAGATTGTAGCAGAAATGTAAATTTGGCAGGCTGGCTGGAATGAGATAATGCAGCCTCGACGTTTTTGGCTCTTGGGCAGGATCTGAACCAGCGTCCGGACTAGTTCTCGAGGAGTTTGAAGACGGCGATATTAGAGATGACGGCAGTGTTGTGTTTAAGAGTTTAGCACCATGTGGCAGCATAGCAATGAGTCCTTCCTAAAAGCGCTTTTATATCAGCCCCTATGCGACAACGTATATGCAAGGAGCATTAAGTTGGGGGTGTGTGGTCACATACAGGATCAGGATATGAATTGTAGTAAAAGACTATGACAAAGAACATGGCAATTAATGCAGCAACGAAGACATTTCGCCGCCTACCTGATGAGGCAACCATGGTTGATAGTGAGAGCGCCGACGACCCAGGGCCGAACGACAAAGAGTAACGGAATAAAGTGAATTTAGGAGAAAAGGAGATGAAAAGAGGGAGTAAAAGAGAGTAGAAAGAAGAAGAAGGGAATCTGAAAGATAGAAAGTCAAAAGAGGGAACGTGGTGCAGAGCACACAAGTCTGATTACAAAAAAAGATGGAAATGAGCGGCAGGATCGAGGTACAAGGCGACTTTGTGTGATCCGCATGAGACAAGAACAAATGGGAAGGTCACAGGCTTCACACAAAAAAACAAAGAAGAAAAGAAGAAGGACGAAAGAGAAGATCCATCGTGTCAGCCACAAGGTCCTCTACACTCGGCGGCTGCGGAAAATGATCATCGCTTCTGTCGATCAATCTATTGTTTTCGCTGTAAGTGGGAGCTGGCATTGGTGGATTTGGAAACCAGCCCAGTGAGAGATTCAAGACGGCACTTGTACATTCTGGGAAGAACCCTGAGTAACTGTAAAGGTAGATTGAGAAGAATAAGATGAAAGTTTAACCCCCTGGGTATACTGTGTAGGTAGAATGTGATAAGGGACGGGCTAATGATCTTGGCTCAGCGCTGTTTCGATGGATCTCGGGATGATCTTCAGGTGTATTTTCCTTTTGGGGATGCTAGATTATGCCTGGATCCTCTCTCTTTTATTTTCATTTGTCGCTGCCCCTGGTGGTTTGGAAAGGCTAGTTGGCATTGCGGGAAAGTCTTTTGATTGGATTGGGCTCTTATTTGGGATATGCTGATGCTTCAATGTCGGCGTTGGATATAAATTACATGTACTCAGGATGGTAGATGGGACAACAGGCGGTGCATAGTTCTGATGTGAAGAGGTTCTAGCACTACTTAAATATGACAATGGATTTGTCTACAAGGTAAGCGAAAGACATTATGCTTATTTAAAAGCACTGGTGCCTCGCTGTAGGTATGTTTACGATACCGGGTTTCCATTTTCTCCCCTTATATCTCGAGGATGATGTAGGATTAAGCTGCATCTCTATTCCCTGCAACTGAGCGCTGTCGATCACTTGCTATCAGTAATCGTGTCAACTCGAGACACCCGCTGGCCATCAAACATGTCAGTATGGGGTACAGGTGCTACTGTTCTAGTGCAACGGCAATCAGCTGTCAAATGCAGGTATCAACAACTTTAGACTCTGAAAGTAAGCAAGCAGTCGTCGGCACACGTAATCGAGAGAGACAAACCCTAGGTACATGTACATACGTCAATAGCAGCGTCAAATATCCGAAATGATTCTGTGCCATTGCAAGGGCCTTCGTATCAGAAACAGCCGAATAAGCACGCAATTCTGACCTCTAACATGTGTACCTCCCTCTCCCGTGCTAGGAGATGCCAATCGCTGCAAAAGGGCTCGGGAGATGGACCAATTTGGCAGATGGACATTGTGCAGATCCGACGATCTCTTCTGCAAGGCCGGTTCATGTAACTTGTGGTGTCTGTGCTCCATCTTTGCTGTGGCTGTACAGTACAGTTGGGCATTGACATTTCTTCTATTCTTGATTCGGATCTTTTTGAAGAACCAGATAGCATCCAGTACAGGCCTCTCTGTACGGGCGTCAAGCGTCAACTATCATATGTCTCGGCTAGAAGTTGGTTGGCTGCGAGTGCGGCTCGCGACGTCGGCTGTTTCGGAGGCTATCGTGCCGAAGTGAAGCAGCAGAAAGTTTGATGCTTGGCACATGTCAAATACCACTGTTGAATTCTATCTATTTCGTAGATGCATCTGCATTTTACGAGCATGAGTGATTCGATATAAAAATAGCCATGCGCCAGCCACAGTATTGGGTGTACAACAAAAAAGCAGTCGACGCTCGCGGCGGCATTTGTACACCTACATGTATTATGGAGACCAGAGCTTGGCGAAAACAACGCTGATCTGGTGGCTGTTTCCGCTCGACGCCAAGAGAGAGAACAAGCAGCATGATATATCTGCTTGTTTACGGCATGGTGGCTCTTGTTTCTATTCCTGCGCATCCACGTCACTCGATTCACTCGATAGATACGAAGCCGCAGCGGGAGACTCGTCGCATTTATGACATGCACATGCAGAGCAGTTCGTATCAGTTTAGCTTCCCCCAGCGCTATTCCATTGTTCTCGAAACATTATACTCGTAGCAGTAAAGTCCCGAACGCAGCCGGCTTTAAGGGCAATCGCTTAGATCAACCCCATAACTGAGTCCAACCTCGCCAAGACAGACACAAACGCGACTTGGCGACACATATCGAGAACAGCTGTGGCTCGCCATTTTAGCCACCAGACTGCATTTTTGCCTTGGCCGTTCAGAGCCGATGCCAAGACGCCGGCGCTGACACTGGATGATATTCCAAGGCAGGGCCCCCTGGTCGCTTGCGCTGGGCTCGGCGCTGGGCCAGTCTGGTTGGTAGGTACGGATAGGCTGAATGTCCACCGCCAGACGAGTTGAGGGCAGACGCTGAATCCTGCCAATGCATTGCGCCCAAGCACCATGCCGTCACCCAGTTTGACGTTGCTGTGTTTCGTGCCCCAACCAACCCCCGTCCTCCAAATTGTAGGTTTTGAAGATATTGTCCGCTTCAGTACAATATAGCGAGTGTCTCTAGTGTCGGCCAGTGCCCAGCAGGGCCCTCACGCACTATAATTGATCCCGACACTGATCCCAACCCCAATCCGCAGTCCGCAATTCCCGTCAAGCGCGTGCCGAATCGCGGCTTCCAGCGTGCTCCGCTGCCAAGACCTCGCACAGTGCCACAGCGTCCGCCGCACATGCAGACGCAAGCAGTCACAGCGTCCTTGGCTGCTCCGTCAGGCGTCTCTAGCGCATCGCAGGCCCGCTAGCTGACTCCAGCCGGCCCAGTGCTAAATTCGTGCCCCAGCCAATCCCTTCTCCTGATCGTGCTGCGGCGCCCATTTCAACCTCCAATCTCAGGTCCACGCCACATTTTCCTCCTGTCGAACGCTCTTCCCCTCCTCCACCTCCCATCCGCTGCCTTTTTCTTCTGGTCGTTTGCAGATCTGACAAGGCAACGTGGTGTCCTTTTGACGACTGCGTCTGCGCCGTGTTGTTTTTGCATCTCCAAATTGTCGCTCGCTCCTCCACCCCCGCCTGGTCTATTGCCTGTCTTGAAGACTCGGAATCCTCCGGCTTTAATAGCGGCTTGCCTCGTTTTTTTGCTGCTTCCATTGTTACGCCGTTGTCTACGAACCGGACGATATACGACTTCTTCGCGCGCGGCGTCTTCGTATCCATTTCTGGCTGCGTCCTTGCCAGATCCGGTCGACAATCTGTGACCAAACTTCGCTTCATCTCGGCTTTCGCGAGTTATGCTTGCTTAGGGGAGTTTGAGTCTCTTATACACCAATATCAGATCTCGCCGCCTCGTTTTCAAGACTTATACGCCCGATCACGTCGATACACAGCTCGCCCATCATGTCTAGGCGCTCACAGGACGTTGCGCTCCTGACTCCCGAGGAGCAGGACTTCAAGGATATTGAAGCTGGAAAGAGCGAAAGCGATTCCCAGAATCAAAACCTCGATCATGAATACTCAATACCTAGCACCGTCAAGTTCACTTGGCTGGGAACCTACTTCTTCCTCTCTCTGGTTCTTACTCTATACAACAAACTAGTTCTTGGCATGGTATGTTCTATAACCTTTATAAGCCACTTTAAGGCAGCGATGCGGTTCTTCCAACGCCAAACCATATGACGATACCATGCGTTTCTTCAATGGGTTGCTAATCCGTCTATACGAATTTAGTTTCACTTTCCCTGGCTTCTGACGTTCCTCCACACTTCTTTCGCCAGTCTGGGAACATATGCCATGCTGCAAATGGGCTACTTCAAGCTTTCACGCCTCGGTCGTCGCGAAAACCTTTCCCTCGTCGCCTTCAGCGCTCTATTTACCGCCAACATTGCCGTCTCCAACCTGTCCCTGGCCATGGTCTCTGTTCCTTTCTACCAGACGATGCGCATGCTTACCCCCATTTTTGCCATTGTCATTTTCCGCGTGTGGTATGGCCGAACATATAGCACAATGACGTATCTTTCTCTCGTTCCTTTGATCATCGGAGCTACTATGACCACCGCCGGTGAGATGAGCTTCTCCGACGCTGGATTCCTCCTCACCATCTTGGGTGTCATTCTTGCTGCCCTCAAGGTAATTCGACAACCTACCCACATTCCCCCGTACCTTGTCAAGGCTAATCATGACAAAATAGACTGTTGTTACCAACCGATTCATGACCGGATCATTGGCCCTTCCTCCTGTCGAGTTCCTCATGCGCATGTCTCCCCTCGCCGCTCTCCAGGCTCTGGCCTGTGCCACGGCTTCTGGAGAGGTTGCAGGCTTCCGCGCACTCGTCAGAAGCGGCGATATTCATCTGGCACCCGCGTCTGCCTCTCTTGCCGGTAATGGTTTCTTGGCGCTACTTCTCAACATCTCATCCTTCAATACCAACAAGCTGGCCGGCGCTCTGACAATGACCGTCTGCGGCAACCTCAAGCAATGCTTGACGGTCATGCTCGGTATTTTCTTATTCAACGTCAGTGTAGATTTCCTCAACGGCGCCGGCATGGCCGTCACAATGATGGGAGCTGCCATCTACAGCAAGGCCGAGCTCGACAACAAGAACAAAAAGAAGCAGCAGCAGCAAGAGGCCTCTTTTAAGCCTACCGAGCAGAGGTAGCGACTACTGACTGCATAACAAACCTCAGCATTTTGATATAACCTTTTTTTTCCTTAAACCCCTTGATGATATACTATAAAGATGGATGCTTGAAGAAAAAAGCCGGTTGGCGTATTAGGGACAAAAACTCGACCCAATTAATACTTGACCACGAACCAGAGGTGCTTCTCATGGCTGAATAAGCCACTTGTTTTAATATTCACATTTGTCTGTCTGCTGTCGGTTATGGGCAGCTTCAGAAAGATATTTTGGTGGGCTACGGAAGTTGTCACGATCAGATGGG